TTTTTTTTTTTTTTTTTTTTTTTTTTTTTTTTTTTGTACTGGGGATTGAATTCAGGACCTTGCAATTATGAAGCAGGCAGCAGAACAACTCTGTCTTTAATAGAATTCATGCTCAGGGGCCTGGATTTGGCTCAGTGGTTCTGCTCCCTGCCTTGAAAGTACAAGGTGCCAAGTTCAATCCCCAGTAGTAAATTAAAAAAAAAAAAAAAAACCAATGCGTGTTTAGTGGGGGAAGATGAAGGGAGGGGATGGGAAACAGAAGAAAAAGGATCAAGATGCAATATGTGTATATACCAATTCCCCATGATGAATGTATTGTTATGCATCATAAACATATACTAATAAAAAGGGGGGGAAAGTTAGACAAAAGGAGTAAGAGAAAGAGATCCATTGTGCAACATGGCAACTGCAGGTAGTAATGATGTGTTACATAACTGAAAATTAGTAAGAGTAGGTTTAAGTGTTTTTACCACAAAAAATTATATAAACTAATGTATATGCTAAATGGTTTGATTTAGCCATCTCAAAGCATAAACAATTTAGCCACCCACAAAGTAGACATATGTCAAAATATTGTGATTGTACATCATAATGAAACCACTTTTATTTATCAATAAAAAATAAATCAGCTAAAATTTTTATTAGAGGATTAAAAAGCAAACAATAAAATTAATAAAATATGAAAAGATCAAATGAGCAATAATTTCACTGTACTTACTCTGACATTGAGGTGAAAATTGTACAAAAATTTGTGAAAGTATACAATAGCAGAATTCATTAAGAAAATGGGAGAACTTTCAAACAAAGTAAAAAAGGTCTGTGAATTATTTGATAATCCAATAAAGGCAATATAGTGAATCATATAAATATTTTGGGAAAACTTTAATTTTCTGCTGATTTGACATTAAATACGACATAAAGATGGCATCCAACACATAAAAGGCCACTGTAAAAGACTATTAGTCACAAATAGGTTGACAAGTAGATCCATTAACAGAGAATATAAGATCAGACACCGCACAAAAAGGAAATACTGGTACCCTGACCTTTTACAGTATACATGTGAAAACATTTGATAGAGATTTTCCCAGAGATTTTAAAATTTTCCCAAATTTTAAAAAATCTAAAATTTTAGACATTACTATTACCTAAAAGAAACTTCCAAAGCCAATAAGGAAGCAGATTTGAACATACACCAACAAAAGCAAAAAAAGAATTCATATCCAATCAATTAGTCTTGTAAATAAAATTTTTCTCTGTTTTACTTAGCTCCACTAAAATAAGTATCAGTGATCACAAAAGAGACTGGAATCAATAAAGCAAACCCTCCTATCGCTGCTGCCTGAGCAAGATTCCCCCATATGAGCTGATGCCATCAAGATAATGCCTTGGGTTTATTGCCTTTCCCGCCTTCTTCGGGACAGCATGATCCCAATTAATCCTAGACCAGCCAGGAGACCTGCTCCCACAGTTAGGTTTGTGGTCACTTCAGCAACCTGCAGTGGAAGAAAAGGAAAAGAATCACAGTCAACATCAGGAGTCTGACCCTGGATGTATGTACACACGTGTGAGGAGCCTGCCACTTGGGAAAGACCCATGTGGCTCTGCCCTCTTCCTCCACATGACAGAGGGAAGAAACATGGGTAGGGAGGCATGGTCTCAAGAGGCCAGGCCACTCAGAATGAGGAGAGATGTCTTGTGGGGAAAGAATGAATAGAAGAACAAGCTATAGGTATGAAATATGAGAGCTTCAAAGTTGGAAAATGAGATACAGCCTGTGAGTATCTAAAATGCAATAAACGACATTGAGCGTCAAATCTCAGAAGCAGTGCTTTGGCACCCTGTGACATAGTCTTCAATTTGGGGACTCCCTTGGGTACCTTAGGCACCACTACAGCCACTGCAGCAAGGGTGGGTTTGGAGGATTGGAGACAACATCTACAACCACAGGTTCTGCACTCAGCTCTTCTGCTCCAGCTCACACAGGCACTACTGGACTCTGGTGGTACTCAAAACAAAGGTTTTGGATTTGGTACCAGTTTTGGCACAACAATGGTAACTAGTACTGGTGTTGTAAGGCCTAAATTACAAGCCCATACTAAATGACAAAGGGCCTAGGAGACAGTGCTCTAACCCCCTCCCATTGTAGCCATAGTCCCGACCTTTGTTCAAACCCTGGCTTAAGAATGTAAGGCAATCTTGTACTGTTTGAAGTCTGGATCCTGATTAACATGTAAGTTAGTGGTTCTATACTATGAAATACACAGAGACCCCAAGTTAATTGCTAAAATGTTTGCTCATCCTGAATGTCTTGGTGGCCTTTGAACCATCCTATAGGTATCTGTTAATCATCAATGTGTGACTGCCAAGTACGTGACTGCTGACCACCAGCTCAAGTCAGCAGACCTTTGTCCCCTGCCTGCAAGCTTAACATGTTAACCCCCCTTTTTACCTCCCTATAAAAAGGACCTCAGCCCCTGAGCTGGTGCCTCTCTGAGCTACTTAGTTCTGAGAGTGCCGTCTGGCCAGACTAATAAAGGTCTATTTACCATCTAGCCTGGTGTGTTCCTTCCTGGGTTTCTCATTCCTCCATCGAGCTCCCGGAGCCTCGTTGGGCTATAGGACCCAACATCGTGGAGGCCTATTCGGCTGTTCATGCTCATGGAGTGTAAGTGAGACTTTGCGTCTTACAGTGTAGGTACTGCTTTGGGAACTGGAGGATTTAATACACAGCAGCAACAACAGCAACAATCAAATCCAGTGGTCTCTTCAGTCAGCCGACACAAGCTCCTACCAGTCCAGCCAACTGATAAGTACTGCAAGTGCTATTTCTGCTCCAACATTATTGGGAGATGAGAGAGAAGCTATTTTAGCAAAATGGAATCAACTGCAGGCTTTCTGGGGAACAGGAAAAGTATTTTCAAAATAATATTCCACCAGTGGAATTCACACAAGAAAATCCTTTTACTGGTTTATGCTGGAGGTTATAACTATATGTCCAATAATAAAAATGAAGATGGTCTAGTAGTTTTAGTTTTCAACAAAAACTTTTAAAATAAATCCTTAATTTGAGATTTTAAAAAATGCAATAAGTCTACAGGGAGGGATGGGGAAATGACAGAGGCACAGCCCAGATGTTCTAGGGCTTACACCAACCTGGTGCTATTCAGTTCTCTCTAGCCTACTTTCTTATGGAGAAAGACAGAGCCAGAGACAAAAGAGGGCTTTTCTATGGAGTCAGTCAGAAGGAGTGAGAAGCATAAAGGCAAGTTAATGAGACACCTGCAGGAAGGGCTCAGAAAGAGAGACATCAGACAAGGAGAAACTAAACTGAAGAGAGCTGTCTCCTATGAGTGCTCCCTGCTTGCTTGATTTCTCACCCCTCCAAAGCACAGCAGAGAGCCAATCACCCTTGAAAACAGGATCTCCCAGGTAAATCTAATGCCTCTAAAGTCTTTTTAGATGCACAGAAGCTGCCCACCCCACTACCCCGCATGCCACCCTTGGTCTAGACACAGGTCTGTCCTCCTCGGCCCAAATCCCATCAGCAGATTCAATGCTGGGCACACAGAGCAGTTCTCACTAGACTGCAGGACCCAGAAAGCCTGGCAAGTTCTCAGTTAATAGTCAGGGTCTATCTGGGGACCCTTGCTTCCAAAAAGTATGGTGTTATGGAATTGGCAAGTGACACACAGAGAGGCACCAGAACGGAAGTAAAATAACAAACATTTACTCCATTGATGGGTATCGATCACACTTATTGGCAGTACTGGGCTACAACTCCCTCTTTTATATGATTTTACACCCTTGATCTCATTCAGGTGGTTACATTTCATTTTCACAGTTCACACTGCTGATATTCAAAACATGGTGGTGAGGCTATCTAATTTCAACCAGATGTAGCACTTCTTTGGTAGGGGAGGTTACCTTTAAAATTCAATTAGTTATTCTAGCCCAGGGGAAGGGGGTGTGTCTGGTCAGCAAAGTTAACAGTGGTTCTTTTCATTTACAAAACTTTTTAGGGAGACTAGATACCTGGGTGCCTGTTGATTCTGAACTAAACAAAGCAAAGGGCAGAAGTTATTTTACATTGTGACATTTCATAGGGTTTTGCTAGTAAAGTGTTCTCTATCAATGGATTCTCCCTGCTTACCTCTCCATTTCACCATAGGCCTTCACCTACCTTACAAAAGAAGAGTCAGATCCTTCCCCAGCCTGAATCTATGACACACAAACTAAGGGATAAACATTCGTAGGCAAAATGGTAAGACTGAAGAATGTATCCCTCCCAAACAGAGGGCTTCCAAAACACATGTGTGACCATGTGGAGGGAGGCTCCTGCCTCGTCCATCTGTAACTTAAGAATTAGAATGCTGAAGTGATGTGGTTGTCCTAAAATGGGCATTAACACATTGATTTGAATTGAAAACTTGTTAACTTTGGTCTGGAAGAGATTGTCTAATATGGCTGATTGTTTTTACACTATTGCTTGGCTTGACTATTTAAATGGTATTTTTCACTCACTGAATGAGCTAAATGTGCAACTCCAAGGTTGAGAAGAAAATGCATACAGAAAACGTGGGTGCAAAATGCCACAAATTCCACCCTCTGCAAGTTTTTACATTTTTTAGTTTTTAAAATTTTCACACTGCCTAGAAATGTACAACATTGTGTTTTCACGTATTTTGGGGGACAGGATTTGGCAAACGATGTCCCCTCACTCAAATGTAGCCTGCCACCTCTTTTTGCAAAAAGGAATAAAATTTTACTGGAACACAGCCTTGCCCATTTGTCTACCTTCTGTCTGTGGCAGGGTAAAGAGAGGAACTACATAGATAACAAAATCTGAGATATTTGCGATCTGATCCTTTGCAGAAAAACAATTTGGCCCAACATGACCAGAGCTTCCCTCCTCCTGCTTCACACGGTTCCCCTAGCATCCCACGTGAAGGTACAAGACCTATCATGTAAAGGAACAAGATCCCAATAATGAAAAAATAAATAAATAATAAATAAATAAAAGATCCCCATAATGAATGTAACTGTACTGTATCCCTAAAAATGTACCAATAAACTCAATTTAAAAATGTAGAGATGTTTTTTTCTAAACTAAAACCTCAATGTTTGGGTTTAGTTGCAGTGCTGGAGCATTGCCATAAATAAGTGGGTTTCGGGCTGAACTTTGGCTCTAGTCACTAAAAGGTTCACCATCACTAAATCAGAGGCTCAGTATCTGATTGAATGGGTTGGGACAGATGACCCTAACACCATGATCCACAGTTTTCCCATGTATAGCATGGAGAGGATAAAACCTGATTCTAGGCCTCTGGAGAGTAGCCTTAGGGGCAGGAAGCAGGTAGGGCTCAGCAATAGGATTGCCTGTCATGTTTCTGTCTCACTTCCCTGGCCATCACCCCCTAACAGCTCTAATCTGCATTGCCAACTTGCTTAGGTCTCATCACACTTGCCGCCACTCCAAATGTGACATCCCCAAGGGCAGGAATTCTGTATCTGCTGTTCGTGTCTCTATCACCATTCTGGTTCAAACCCAGCAGGTGCTGAGCCATCAACAGCTAAAGAGATGGCCTGGTTCTGAGTAAGGGGACACAGGCAGAGCATGTACCTGGTCACTGCATGGAACTCCGTAGCGCAGCGTAGTCACAAAATGTTCACAGTTCATGCTGGTTGCTGAATAGCGCAGCTCCTTCCCCACCAGCTGCAGGGCCTGATTGACAATTTTGTTGGTAGGCAGTGGTGAATACCTATCATCGTATTTGTTATTGACCTGGTAGTTGTCTGATCCGGCCACTTGGGACAGCAGCTCTTTCTTCACTATGGCTCTGTCGGTCAGGGCAGACATGATGCTGGACGAACCAGCTCCCGCAAATTCACCTGTGGAAACAGTGAGTTCAGAGCTGGCCCTGACCCAGCAACCTCATTGCCCTCAGCGACAAGGATGAGCTAAGGAAGAAACTGCCCATCCTGCCTGGTCCAACACAAGCCTGGAGGACTTTGGAAAGCTCCCCCAGGATCCGTAGGGTCTGCTCTCTACATGTTTAACATACAAGATGTGTGTTCTGAAGAACCACATGAGTTCAAATTTCCCTCAAGGAGTCAGCTATTGAATGGTGCAAGGCAAAGAGGAAGCAGAAGGCAGTCGAGTCCTACTCTCAGGTTCCTCTTCTAGCTCATTCCTATAAAAAAATAAAGTCCACTCAACCTTCTTGCCATCAGTCCAGAAGCCCCAGCAGACTAGGGTGGCATTTTGAAACTATAAGGAAGGAACCAGCTAATCAAGACAGAGGCCTAACAGGAATCTAGGACCCCTTGTCCTAACTTTGATTCATTCACAATATGTCTTTAGCAAGTCCCTTCACTTAGGGCCTTGTTCTTGTCATTTACAAATTAAAGAAACTGGGCCAGATGATAACTAAATCTTCCAACTCTAAAATGCCGGATTTGCCTCTAAAGGGGACCCTATCTTTTCAGAATGAGAGACAATGGCAACACAATGGTATCTAAGAGGGACCCGGCTCACAGATGTTACAAACACATGGACATCATCCTTGATCTTCAGACAGCTGGGGATATATCAGAGAATATGGGTCATTATCTGTCTTTATCTATCTAAAGAAATATTTACATATCCTGAAAAAAATAACTTTTATCTGTCTTGGTGACTTTTCTCATTGCTGAGACAAAATACCCAATATTCAAAGTTAAAAAAGGACGGCTCACAGAGTATAGAGGTTTCAGTCCATAGTTGGCTGGCTCCAAGTCAGGGCAGCATGGCAGAGGGGCATCAAAGAGGAGAAACAGCTCATAGCAGACAGAAAAGCAGCAAAGTGGCAAGCAGCATGCTACAAACAACAAACAAAAATACTCTTTCTGTTGTTATTTATATCTTATCCAGGCTGCCTAAGGGCAGGTGGTACTCACACTCAGGATGGAGCAGGCTTAATCCTAGCAAATTGTTTAAAGGCAATAGCTACAACTACCAAAGTTGTGGAATCGTCTTCAGAACTTGTTAGGGAAATTATTTACATATATAGGTTTCTCGTGCTGTGAAAATACTAAATACCCAGCCTACACAGCATTTCTCATCCTGCAAACTAACATCTTGTGAAATTCTCAACCTGTCTCCTTCAACCCTTCACATTCTTTGCTATAATTCTTTAAACTTTGCTACCATCCTATGCTTACCCAACAAAAGAGATAACCATAACTGTTGAATTTGTTTCTCAAAAGTCCCCTTCAACCCAGTGCACTGGAGGAGCCCAGCAGCAGCTCCCAACCCTCGGGTAGGCACGCCTTTGACCCTGCACCCCAGAGGAGCCCAGCCATGCAGGTGCCAGCACAGTCATGTTCATGTGCCCCCATCCCAGTGAACAAGAGAAAGTGGGCCTCTCTGAGGCTCCTAGATGAAAATTGAAGGGAAAAGCGAAGAAAATCTGCTATAGAGGCACACCACACCACTATAGTTGGTAAGTCGGAGGGACCAGCATCTCACATCAGAACCTGGTCTAACTTCAGAGGAAAGACAGCTGGAACCTTCAGTAGAATCTTGCAGAGTTCAACCCAGCAAGAGGTCAGAGAGCTCAACTTGGGCCTTACAGCCAAAAATCAGCCAGAACCTCAGGGGACAGCTGCTGGCTTGCTGAGACTAATTAACTTAGACCTGCACACTCCTGCCCATGCCCTCTATTGTGTCAGCAGAGACATACCCTGAAGGAGACCCCCTATTTCTATTTGCATTTTTTATTTTCAAAGTAATATTTTTCTCTTATCTTTAATCATTTAAAAATTTTTTATCTATCTTTTTCTTTCCTCAATTTTTTCCTGTTTTTTCTTCTTTTTCTTATCGTTTCTCTCTCTCTCACTCTCTCTCCCACCTTGATCTCCATTACTCTCCCTTTTTGTTCTTTTTCCTACCTTAATTCGAATTTATTTTCTTTCTTTTCCTTTTCTTCTCTTTTTCCTTCTCTCAATTGCCATTAGTTTTAAAAGAAAGTGATTACAGTCTCTAGCCTCCTTATTGCTGTTAATTTGTTCTGTTCTTGGGAATATTTTGTTCCATCTTCTCTTCTCTTCAACAGCTCCCTAGCATTTGTGTGATCTTCCTGTGTCCTCTGACATCACTTCTTACCTTTCTGTATCCTATCTATCTCTCCCTCCCCAACTCCTTCTAAGTCACCAACCTAAAGGGTGAAGTTGCTATATTGAAGAGTTTATTCACTATAAACATATTTTGGGCTGGTCCTCAATTTTGATTTAATTCACACAGTTAAAGGTGATAGATTAATAACTATCACAAATTGTCATTTTCTAAACTGTGCTTGATGCTACTGTGTTGCTGATTGTATCACTTAGGTTAAGGTACTGTGATTGATCTGATCAGTTGTCCTCCCTGGTATAATGAAAATGAGATTGCCTCAGAGACATTAGAGATTCAAAACCTAAAGACCAGCTATATCTGGAAGATTGAAGTATTAACCCAGGAATTAAACCAAGGACAGTACCAATGACAAAAATAGAAATGAGTAGGCATTTAAACAAGACACAAGCACAGACTTCCACCCCACCAAAGGTAAAATCTGGGGGAAATGAGGTGGAAAAGTCTGACAGTCAACCATCTGGACACCCTGAACCAATAGCACAGGAAGTAAAAAAACATATAAAAGGCTTTAGAAAAATTCAAAATAGAAATAATTTCCCAGATAACCACAGAGATGGTGAGAAGAATGAAAAGACATGGTTAAAGACTCTAGAACAGAAACAGATTAAAAAGAAAAATAGATGAGCTCAGGATCATGATGGAAACGATGAATGCCCAGCATAGGAAAGAAATAGAATCCATGAAACAAGTTCAAACAGGTATACAGGAGATTAAAAACTCTATAGAAAGCATTCACAGCAGGATGAATGAATGTGAAGAAGATAGGATTTCAGATACAGAAGACAGGATTGCAGTCAGTGACCATGAAAAGAGAGATCTCTTAAAAACAGTAAAGGACATGACAAATCAATCCAACAATTCTTAGATGATGCAAAGAAGAAGAATATAAAACTGATAATAATCCATGAAGTAGGAGGAGAAAGTTCAAATGACATAAAAAATGTTCATAGAATTAATGACAAAAAATTTCCTAAACAGAGGGGAAGAATTTGAAAGTGAGGCATATAGGACTCCAACTAGCCATGATCCAAAAAAAAATTTACACCTAGACATATAATAATCAAGATTCCAGAAACCAAACAGAAAAACAAAATATTACAAGCAGTTAGAGAAATGAAACAAATCACATGCAAAGGAAAGCCCATCAGAATCACAGCAGACTTTTCAACACAAACTCTCAAGCCAAGGAGAGCCTGGAGTGAGGTATTTCAAAGAAACAACCTCCAACTATACTGATGTATCCTGCAAAACTATTTTTCAAAATTGACGGGGAAATAAGATACTTCCACAAAAAAAGAACACCTGAGAAATTTCATGAACACCAAACTAGCACTCCAAACATTTCTAAATAATATCCTGGAAAATGAAAATGAAGACCACAACTCTATAAGGCCCAACAGAGCAAATATACCAGGCAAGGCAAGAAATTAAAGGGAGAGAGGGAAAAACAAAAAAATAAAAGAACCAACAACAGGAAAAAAACATGACAATTAAATGTCAATACATAACAGTTATAACCATCAATGTTAATGGCCTAAATTCACCAATCAAAAGAAGCAGACTGGCAGAATGGATTAAGAAGCAAAATCCAACAATATGCTGTACACAAGAAACCCACTTAATCTACAAAGAAATTAATAGACTGAGAGTAAAAGGATGAAAAACAGTTCTCCATGAGACAGGAGCCGGGAAAAAAGCAGGAGTAGTTATCTTATTTGCAGACAAAGTAAATTTCAAGCCAAAACTAATTAAGAGAGACAAAGAAAGCCACTACATCCTTGTAAAGGGAACAATGCTAGAAGAAGAGGTGACAATCATAAATATATATGCACCAAATACTAATGCCTCCAACTATACAAAACAAATATTAATGGATATGAAAAACAAAATAAGCACTAGTACAATTGTAGTGGGGGACCTCAATACTCCACTAACACAAATAGATCATCTAGACAAAAAGATCAACAACAAAATAACAGAACTGAAACAAGTCTTAGAACAAATGGGCTTAGTAGATGTCTACAAAGTGTTCCAACTCACAAAATCAGAATATACATTCTTTTTGGCTGCACACAGGTCATTCCCCAAAATAGACCAGATGCTAGCTCATAGAACATGCTTAAGTAAATGCAAAAGAATTGAAGTTATTCTCTATATATTATCAGACCACAGTGCAATTAAACTGGAAATCAGTAGCCTAAGAAACTGCAAGAACTTCACAAACACATGGAAATTAAATAACACCCTGCTGAACAACCATTGGATCACAGAGGAAATTAAAGAAGAAATTAGATGGTTTCTACATGATGGTTTCTAAATGATAATGCCAATACAACATGCAGGAATCTATGGGACACAATGAAAGCAGTTCTACTAGGGAAATTCATAGCAGTAAATGCCCATACTAGGAAGACAGAGCGAGCTCAAATAAACAACCTAATACTTAACCTTAACCTTCTACAAAAAAGGAGAGCATGAGAAACTGAAAGCTTATACAAGGGAGGAAATTATAAAGAGCAGAGCAGAAATTAATGCAATGGAGACTAAGAGAATGATACAAAAAAAATCAATGAATCAAAGAGTTTGTTTTTCAAAATAATAAATAAAATCTATAAGCCCTTAGCCAATCTTATCAAAAAAAAGGAAAGAAAAGGATTCATACAATTAGGAATGAAAAAAAGTGAAGTCACAACAAATCCAGCAGAAATCCAGAGGA